GAGAGAGAGAGAGAGAGAGAGAGAGAGAGAGAGAGAGAGAGAGAGAGAGAGAGAGAGAGAGAGAGAGAGAGAGAGAGAGAGAGAGAGAGAGAGAGAGAGAGAGAGAGAGAGAGAGAGAGAGAGAGAGAGAGAGAGAGAGAGAGAGAGAGAGAGAGAGAGAGAGAGAGAGAGAGAGAGAGAGAGAGAGAGAGAGAGAGAGAGAGAGAGAGAGAGAGAGAGAGAGAGAGAGAGAGAGAGAGAGAGAGAGAGAGAGAGAGAGAGAGAGAGAGAGAGAGAGAGAGAGAAAGCAGGATCAACCTCACATCTGTATCACAGCCCAGACTTGGCTCACACAGTTAACTCAACATTCAGAGAGATTGCTTTTCGCTGCTTAGGGTAGGCTAACCGCCTGCGCCCTGGGACAGATGGTGCTCAAGGAGGACTGGGATACTCTACCTGAGCGGTGTTCTTGAAATTGATATTGCTACCTTTCCCAGAGCTTCAGTGGAGACTTAGAGTGAGTTGACATTTGTGGGTCTTCCCACATGTACCAAGAGGACGGTACACAGAAACAGCGGTGCGGATGACCAGACAGTTCAGGAGGAGGGACTCAGGGAAAGTCCTCTGCCTGGAGCTGCTCATGCAGAATTATGACTTGTGAGAGCCAATGTTTCTTTTTCTCAAGATGGTTCTTAAATTTCTACTCCAAGCTGGGTGTGGTGGCACACACTTTTAGTCCCAGCACTCAAAAGGCAGAGGCAGGCGATCTCTCTGAGTTCAAGGCCAGACTGGTCTACATAGTGAGTTCTAGGCTAGCTCCAGCTACAGGGAGACTCTGTCTCAAAAAGACAAAATAAAAAAAATTCTACCCCTCCACACCCCTCCTCGAGTAGACCTGGGATGGCACCCTCATACCCGTTCCTCATGGTTCTGAAGTAATCATTTGAACCTTTGAGTCCAGTCCCATAGAGCCCCAGGGGACTTCTGCTATGGCATCAATCAAGTGCCTGTGGGGAGAAAGGAGAAAGAACCTGCTCTTGTTAGTCACGGAGGTCTGGGACAACCAACCGGAAGGATGGCCCAGCTGTGGGAACTGTGCCTCCAAAATCCTGGGAAATGGAGAGGGATGTGACTGGGGAAGGAGCTTGGAGGTATGTCTGGGGCACTGTGCAAAGACCAGGTGCAGGGGAGGGAGCCAGCACTGCTTGGCAAGAGTTTTTCCTATAATTCGGGGCAGCGGGGTCAAGGGGACAACACA